GGTGTAAATCGGAATGGGTCAGCACTTTGCTGCAACATATCATGTTACCATGAAAACGACAAAAAATATGATGTATAATTGTGTATTTATTTTATACTTTGTACTCCCTGTTTTGAACGTCTTCCAGGCTCCTTCCTCACAAGATGAGAGGTAACTTCATATAATCTATTTACTCGTTTTTGTCAAAACAGCTTCAATGACAAAATCAAATATTTGATGAATAAATAAATATCTTCTGATTTCATGTTTATTTTTTGTTCCATCTTTAACCCTTAATATTTCTGAGTAAATTGATTATGACAGGCTGAACACAAGTCCTCTTTGTTTACCTTTGTTTTATGTCTCCATGCGTCCACTGGTTACCCCGTGTTTAACGTCACATTGCTAAGTCAGTATGCTGACTTTCGGAAAGGGTTCATAAAGGGCTCAAAATGTCTGCGAGAGAGCCCTCAAACACTTGACGATTTGACAGTGGGACATCCCTAAACCCTCACGGACTTCGCGGGAGCGCGCCTCAAAGTCCGTAAGGGGGGACATTGGGATTTGGCCACAGACTGCTGTTATAAGCGTAGAAACAGCTGTTTCTACCAGCTGATTTTAGAAAATTATTTAGCACCCTGATAGCGCTACGTTCTTATGCGAGTGCCCTTATTTATAAATGTAATTTTTTATGTTGTTGTTACATAGCCTTTTCTGAGGCTATATGATGGTCCCGCAAATGTGGACAGTGCAACCTTGTCTACATGGTGATTTATTCACACATACTTAACAGTGTTCATTAATAGGCTGATATTTATACCGAAATAAGCTATTTGTCATGTCATGGGGAAAACAATGCCATTCTATGTAAAAATCTGACATTCAGCACCCCCATATCGCCTTCGTTTCATAATCACATTTTTTGTCAGTTCTCAGGTGGAAAGAACAAAACTAACTGGTGCATTTTTGTTATTTGGAAAGTGCAGCACATTCGTGCAAAAACTCCAGGATCTCTTGCATCCAAGATAAAGACTTGCAACAAATATGAGGTAATTGATGTACAAACCCCACTCGAACAAATGTATCCATCAAATATTTTCGGTGGGTAGGGGTAGTGTTAGGTTCGGATTAAGGACGGTGGGAAACAGTATTGGACACACTCCTGCCTTAATCCTGTAAAATACATGTACCAGAATGAATCATCTTTTATGATATTTAAAGATTGCAAACACATTTTAAAAAGTGTTAAATATTAGCGTTGACGTTAGTCGTTATAAAACATGCGGTTGTCTTTTACTGACACGAAATAACAATGAAATATGAAATAAAGACAGTTTTTTGACTTAGCCTCCTGCTCAGTAAGACGTAGCTAGCTCAACTCGTTAGCTCACTTGGGGTTGAAATGTCATTAGCCATATGTCACCAGAAGCTAACCAGCTAGCACCGACATTAAGCATCGTTCTCATCAACTCTTTCTGACGACAACTTAACGATGAATAAAGAGCCGTGTTCATTCTAAAAATACAACGTTATGGTACATGCTGACGTTAACTATCCGACCTAGTTTACAGTAAAATCCACTGTGGCACCTTGGGCAATCTGTGGGTCACTGAGTGGTAACATGGTAGCTAGCTCACGGTAGTAAAGGAGGGGCTACAGATGCTAAGGCACGAGGCTTACCCGGGCTGTGGCGTTAGCTCCTCTCAGACAAGCCCTCAGCATGGTCCACAATCACTTTGTTCTCAAATGTTTATCAATTTAACCTGCACAGAAGCAGTAAATATTTCTCCTCTCGTCCTTCGTTTCGTTTTCTTCTTTCACCCCCTCCTTCTTCGTATTCTAGGTAGTTTAGACGCTTGTATGCGCAATACTGCCCCCTTAGTCAAAATGAGACATTAACGCAGGCTTCATAATCAAAATGAGACATTATCGCAGGCTTCTTAATCAAAAGGAGACATTAACGCAGGCTTCTTAATCAAAAGGAGACATTAACGAAGGCTTCTTATTAAAAAGGAGACATTAACGCAGGCTTCATAATCAAAAGGAGACATTAACGAAGGCTTCTTAAGCAAAAGGTGACATTAACGCAGGCTTCATAATCAAAAGGAGACATTAACACAGGCTTCTTAGTCAAAAGGAGACATTAACGCAGGCTTCATAATCAAAAGGAGACATTAACGCAGGCTTCTTAGTCAAAAGGAGACATTAACCCAAACTTCTCTCGAGCTCCTCGAAGCACACCTCTGCTAATGTGGTTGCCTATTAATAGAGACTTCCACTGACTTGCTCTGCACATCCGTCAGTGAGCAAGGGGACAACTTAAACTCTGCATGCTTTAGACGAGTTAACACAGGACTAGCTGTTTGAGCACTCGGGTTTGAGATTAATATGGTCAGCTTTATGATATTCAAAAAAGCTAATTTCTACAAGTGTTTCACAAATGGAAAACAGAATCATCTGCAGAGATCCATCCAGACAAGACAGCACACAAGTCACAATTATGCATTATTTATTATTATTCATATTATTTATGTCAGGCAATTTGCTCGCTGAAGGCATAAAGAGAATTTTACTCTTAAGATCTTATCTGCATATTTTACACGCCCTCAATTTAATAAAACCTAATCCAACAGGTGCAATATAAGAACTGCTATTACTTTTGCAGCAAAATCCTCAGGGCTGAATCAACTTAATAGAATAGTAGAAATGGAGCAAAGGCGGGCTGTGAGTTTCCACAGTAAACCTGTGGTTGATCAAAGGACAAAGCTGACACTGATTCAACTGAGCAGCTGATCTGTTTCCAAAGCAACGTTTTACCTCCATCAAGGCAACGGGATTAGTTACGGACCTTCAAAGTTCTGCTCATAAATAGTTATGTATGTTTTTGTGTTGTTCCTTACTGTTATGTCATCTATCTTGTTAGGGCCCAAGCACCGACGTAGTCGGAGCGTAGGACCTATTGTTCTTCTAATGTTTATTATTAAGGCTTGAGCACCGACGTCACAGCGCTCCCTACATATTTTCACAATAGCAGCCCGAGTGTTTCACCTACATGTATGAAATTTGATAGGCTTATGTATCACATGGAGACTTTAAAAAAAGTCTTTGAGGACCATGCACTAAAATGTACCGGAGGTCGGCCATTTTGATTTTTGTGTCATTTTTGCACAATTCTAGTCGATATACTTTAACAAACTACTCCTAGGTAATTCGTCTGATCCTCTTCAAATTTGGCAAGTACAATCTCAAGACCTTTGTGATTAAAAATTAAAAACTTTACGTTTGTTCGAATGGCGTAGCCATAGCGGGCGGCCAAATTACGTGATTCCCCATCAAAACAAGCTGATGTAACTCCACTGGACTCGTTCCAAACAGTCCCAAACTTCCCATGAGTGATACCACTCATGGCCTGACGATGTCTAAAAGCTAATTTTCACTAATACTCACAGCGCAACCTGCTGGCGAAAGGAAATCTTCATTTTCTGACAAACGGCATCCGATTTACATGACTTTTACACAATGTGGTTTACACTTCATATATAGAGCAACACAATGCATGTTTGCACGTGTTCTGTAGCACCACACAGCGGATACAGGAAGCAGTGCACTATTTGCAAAGTATCATATTGAGCATCAGGCTGTCCGAAGGGAAAAAAATACATCGGACTCGCAGCTTTAATTTATATTGTAGCTGCTTTCATTGTTTGTATTCTGTAAAGCAGGGGTGTCAAACTCATTTTCACTTTGGGCCACATCAGCATCATGGTCGCCCTCAAAGGGCCGGTTGTAACTCTAAGACTGTGTAACTGTAACTACTCCCTAACATATTGTTAAATAACTCTCTCTGCATTTGATTGTTTATTGAAGTGTAAAAATATTGTACATGCAGTTATATAAATGTAAAAAAATATGTAAGCACATTTGTTATAACATAAATCCTTTTAATTTAGGGTTAAGAAACCCACATTACTCTATCAAAGATCAAACTTTTAAAGAAAATAACAAAGACAAATATCAAACACAAGTTATTACATTAACTTTGTTCAAAGTTATTTTTGTCACCTCTCTGCATCACTAATGTCCCTCCCCGTCATCGTCCCGTGCATGGCAGCTCCTCAAGAGCTCCTCACCGAGTGTCAGGTCTTATAAACATGGATAGATGCGCTGTATCCGTGTTGTCTGTGCTTTCATCAACAGCTAATGAAAAATACAAGTACCTACTCATCTCTTCGGCTAGCTGTGTTGTTAGATTGCCTGCTAGTTCATGAACCGAGTGGTCTGCGATGGTGTTTCTTCACAAACTGGCATTTGTAAAAGTCTGTATCTGATCGGAGCACATCTGCTCACATACTGTACCTTTAACATGCACTGGGCTGTAGCTTTTGTAAATATATTCTGCTGTGATTGCAGTCTGCCTTTTAATTCTTGGACAATTTGATGTTTTTCTTGGAGGCTAAATTTAGCTCTGCGTTTGGTGTCAAAATGCCGACGTGAATTGTATTCCTTCATCACCGACACTGCCTCATAACACAGAAGACAGACCCGTTATTTCTCCTTGAAGCACAAACATGTATTCGCTTTCCAATCTTTCATTACATTTTCTTCCCTCTGCATCAATTTTTCTCTTCGTGGACATTTTGGGATTATTTGTCGATCTTTTTCAACTCAATCACTTGTTGGAAAACCGCTTTACAGGCTTGTTTCCTCTCCTGTCCACCTGTTGTGATAGTTTTAATGTCGGTACACAGACAACGTGCCATCTCATAATTTCAACTATGGGGATACTTTTATTTTCAAGTCTAACTTTAAATTTTTTTTCCAAAATGAAAAATAAAAAAAAAAAAATCTTTTTATTTGCTGGCGGATTCGCGGGCCACATAAAATGACGTGGCGGGCTGGATTCGGCCCGCGGGCCTTGAGTTTGACATGTGCGCTGTAAAGTGTTTCTCAGTACATTTTAAAGCTCTATACAAATACAATGTATTATTGTTATTATAAAAGACAATGACACATTCAAATTTTGTTTATATTTATTATTTTAAAGTCTTCACCATGAAGGAAACAGCAATAAACACAGCAGAATTTGCATTAAAAAACAACCAATATAAAAACAAATCACAGCCCAATATAACTGAAGTAATACTTCTCTGTATTTAAAATTGTACACGCTTGGAAAAAAAAAAAAAAAATCTTGTCAGTATGAGTTATTAAAAAGGAAAGTACTTTGCCTTTGGTTTGCCCATCTCCTTCAAACAGCTGACAGAACACTTTGAGGTCAGCCAAACTTTAGCAAGTTTAAGCAGGATGTGATTTAACATTTGTACATAAAGCTCCACTGGGCCACAGATCAGTGCTACAAGTGTTTTAGTGAACATCAAATCCTAAATCATTTAAACGGACCACAGCTTGATACAACAATGCCAAAAAAGAAGACTCCCTGAGCAGATTAGTAGTCTGTAAAAGGTCTCAGCCTATGGACTAAGAAGCACTAGTATGAATGGAGACAGAACACAAAATATGTTACAGTGTTGAACCAATAATTACAAACTGAGACACAGCGTTGTGATGCTGTGCAGATGCAGCATTGCTTCGAGCAGATTAAGTACCTGGGGTCCTTCTGGGGAACATGGTGGGCTGTGGGAAGTGAGAGAGTCGGGGGGGGGGGGGGGAGAATGGTTGAACCATTTGAGAAGTGTGTGAACATGTTGTATTTTCTTTTCTGTGATGAGCTATGCCATTTCAGGCTCCACTGTGCTTTCGGTCTTCTGTACTTTAACTGGAGTGCCCAAACAGTCTTCACCCTGAGCAAGAGAGCAAACACAACCACGGTAAAAACAAAGCAGGTTCACAAAGTAGTCTTTTTTCCATGAGGATCTCTACTTCAGCTTTGATAGTACATTTAATGTCCCATACCACAGTTACTACAATGTATAAAAGACACAATAGATGAGAAAACAGCACATTGATGTCTGTCTTTTCCCGGTTATGTGTTGCACTTAAACATCACTGCTTTTAGAAAGCTGTAAAATACCATATGCAGGTTTTGAGAAACCTGGTTACACGACATGGAGTACTTCCATAAAAACCAGAATACTGTGTTAAGTAAATGCCTTTACATGAGTTGGTCCAATACCAATACAGTCTGAAATGCTAGATCGGGTCTCATGAGTCTATGCACCAATCCAATACATTTTCATATTAATTACAAGCTCATTGACACAGCACTTTTCAGCTGCTACACAATTTGTACATCCTACCTGATTAGTACAGTGCAAGTGCAAACTCTTTTTCCCTGATAATGCTACACTGTGAATAATGAATCTGTTGGCCAATAGCAACTGGTGGCAGCAACGTCCTGCGTGGCTAAATAACTAAGTGAACAGCTGTTAATAGAGGTTGCATTGAGTTACTTTATGTTGCATTTAAGCTCTTTTCAGCAAAATTAGTATTGGGTGAAGGTAAATCATAATGTTATCATAATGTGTTCAAATGTAATCTTGTAAAAGATTGTTTTGGTGAGAAACTTGAATAAATGCGGTTGTTTGAAGGAGACGTTTTCACAGCCATATATAACAGATATTAGAGATGAATTATGACCGGTTGAACTTTTTGTTTTTTAACGCACTGGTATCGGCTCGGTACTCTTTTTACTTCTGCTGATTGCTTTCAAAAATCATAAAAGTGGTGTTCATTTGTGAAGATTATCTTGCTGAACAAAACGTGTGAGTAATGAGAAAATCCCATTGTTCTTTTATTGACGGAACCAGTGTGATGCTAACTTCAGAGGTTGGCCTACAAAAATACGTCATCCCTCTATAAGATCTAATCCAGGATATGGCTCAAAACTGTGAACACGCACTAGAGGAAATCACTCATTGGTCATCGGAAACGTTAATATCAGTTGAAATGTATATTTGCCTGTAGACAAATGCTTTTTGCATATTCAGCTGACCTGCTGTGCTCTGAAGAATATACTCACCCTCTGTCTTTGAGGCAACTAATTAAAAGCAAATCAATTGAACAACACTAAACTATAAAGGTCTTTCCTGGAAACTTCCTAGGAGATTGTTAGAAATCATCAGGAAATGTACCCATTAAATAAAACCCAACTACATTTTTCTATTAACATAAACATTACTTCTAATTTCTACTACTTGAAAATGTGGACTTGACTTAAATACATTTCAAAAGGATTGTAGATGATTCAGTGAATTCAGATTTGCTACAATTCAATTAAACAGAGGTTACTTAATCAAACTCACATCAAGAGAAATGCTGTGTGTGGTTGGGGCATTCTGGGAGTCTGGCAAGTTTGGGAAGTCCAGCTCAATGTCCATTACATCACCAAGACCCAGCTCCTCACTGGAAGGACAGAGGACAGACAACACATGAACATGAGCTACAGCTGATTGAGACAATACAGAATGTGTACAGGAAGCCATCTTTATGGGTCTCAGGTGACTTGTGTCTTTGTTGTCTTCTTACATGTTATTCAGGACATTGTCTTGGCCGCCCTCTGTTGGGGGGTCCCAGGCGTGCAGTTTGACCTTCCACAGTTTGATCTGCTGGTCCCAGGAGCGACGGCTGTACTTCCTGAACTTATTGGGAGTCTTTGGGTGAACACCCGACTGACGCATGTGTCTGGAAAGAAAAAACAGGAGAAGTTAAGGTCAGTTTTATTACAGAGTAGGTTTGCATGTACAAGTAATTTGTCTCAGTGATTTGGTGCATGATAAGTGCAAAAGTCCAGGTTTTCCTTCTACACACAGTTGAAGTGCTGTCTTGATTGTGTGTGTGTGTGTATTTGCATAAAACCTACTTTGGAACTTCTTTGATGTATCGGTCATAGGCCAGTGTGTTCTTGCCATAGTTGATCTGTTTCTGTCTCCGTAGCAACACAGCCTCATCAGTCTCCATGTGGTCTCCCTCTTTTGAGTCACAGCTGCAACAGGCAGACAGGCGTATTCACACATACGCATTCAAACAATAAAGGCTGCTATTCATTATGAACAGAGCTTCCAAATAGCAGCCTGGATCTGCTCCATCAACTAAATTATCCACTATTTTACATTATATTAATCTAAATGATATATTTCCCTCCAATATCAAACTGACTGACCCCTTAATTTAAGTTCAGAATCAACAAATGAATATTCAGAGTTTACTGCTCAGAAAGAGACAATGTGAGACAGAGAAGACGACCCACCTCCCAGAAGAGCCAGAGGAGGTTTTTCTCTCACGCTGGGTAACCTCTGCACCCAGTATCCTCCTCCTGTAACTGAACAGAGGGCACACACAGTCAGTGAGAACTGGCACTACATAAAGAGTGTGCTTTAAACCACTGAACGAGAAGCAGAGTTTGGTTACCGCTGCATGTCTCTGTGTACACCCCTCCTCATCTCATCATCATCCACCTGGCTGCCCCAGTCAGCCTGTCTGCTACAGCGAGACACCGGGCCTGTGCTCTCTGGAGTGGTGAAACTAGGGAGGAAACACAAGGGTTACACAGCAGCATATATATATGTATATACGTATATATGTATATATATACATATATATATACACATATATATATATATATATATATGTATATATACACATATATATATACATATATATATATATATATATACATATATATACATATATATATACATACACATA